TGGGTGCCGATAGTAATTCATTTGAACCTCATCCGAGCGTGGTATATGACATGACTGCACTAATCGGACCACGTCCTATAGCCGTCATGCCCCCACTCTATTCCTAGGTATCCTAGTGCACTCTGGCCTGGGTACTAGGCCTTTTACCTCAAAAGTGACATCCCAACCCAACATAGAGAACAAAGTTCAGCATAATAGATAACAGATATGGAAAGCCATAAAATGCAATACAAACATGTACAAATGAGTAAACTGAAAGCATAAAAATAAACACCCTAAGGAAAGAAAACAAGAGCTAGGAGCGACTCCGGGATGGACCAGCATTTGGTCGACCTGATTCCCCAGTGAAGTCGCCAGCTGAAACCACCGGCTGAAAATCATCAAACAATGAAGTCGCCATCGAACGTCTTTTATCCCACAGGAAAGGAAAGGTAAACATCAAGAAAACCTGAGAAGGGTGAAATCAAGGTCTTGCGACCGAGAGATAAGGGTAAGGGAGTCTGTTACGCGAGGGGAAGGTATTAGCACCCCACACGCCCGTAGTACTCTACGGTATCCACTCTTGTCGTCTATCTTATGGGTGTGTCTAATCTACGCTTACTGTTTATTATACTACTAAAGGGAAAATGCATGCGAAATAAAAGGGAAAAATGTAGGGAAAATAAAATTGTGCTCGCTCGGGCCCTACCCCAATGCCTACGTATCCCTTTTTAGGAATCAGAGCAGCCGTAGTTCGGCTTATATGTTTTTGTTTGTTTGTATTTTTTACTGAACAATATTAATTTCGCCTTCTGCCGCAACTCGACCGTTGGAGACTTACGCGTCAGCACAGAAGTGAATTAACATGCTCTTCTGAAAAGTTTGGAAAGAAATGTGCCTGGACGCACAAAAAGGTTTGAACTTGTTTGTTTTTGTAATGAACGATAGTAATTTCGCCTTCTGCCGCAACTCGACCTTTGGAGATTTACGCGTCAGCACAGAAGTGAATTAGTACGCTCTTTTGAAAAGAGTTTGAAAGAAAGGGCCCGAAGGCAAAAGATTTTTATGTTTGTTGGTGTTTTTCGCTTGTAGAGAATGACTAGTTAATCTCAAGGGAGAGATTTTAGCCATGTCTCTACTTATTCATGAAATGATTCTTTGAGACTTGAATCATACCAAAGCTTAGAACAAGAGAATAATAAGGCCGAGAAGAAACCCGCTTATCATCTCTCAAACTTAGCCAAGACATGATTCTTGTCAGTAAATTTAAAGTGTTTTGAATTTTGCAAGAGAAAGAAGTTTTTTTTTTTGTTTTAGATGCGTATGCGAAAAGAGAAAAAAAGTTAAAGGGGGACTAGCCTATTTCTAAACCTAATGTTATTGTGTATTAGACCTGAAGTTAGAATTTTGAAGGAATTCTACCTAATGTTAGCATGCATATGGTTTGCGATAAAGAAATGCAATAAAGTGCGAAATGAGGGATAAAATAAGATTGTGACGATACCGAACGGAGAAGGTCCGTTGCCTCTTCAAAGTCCCGCAAGTGGTAAGAAAACTCTACAGAAGTTACTCCGCATGAGTGATCGAAAATTAATATCCAAGCATTTCCCATTGCGAAAGTTATATCAATATCCGAACAAAATCTTAACTGAGGATGAAAACGAAAATGGTTACTAAACATAAATGCTAATAGAAAATTTTAATTAAAATTTAAAAAAAGAAATTCTAGAAAAATTCTATTATATACTACCTCTTTTTTATTATTTTTTTTTATAGACAAAAATTCTAACAAACAAACGAGAATTAATTCCTAGATCAAAAAAAACTAACAAGTTTTTATGGATTTTATGACATGTGCAAAAAAACAATAAAAATGGGCCCAGGACAAGCAATCCGGACCAAGATCCATCAACAATAATCCAAGCTTATTTTTTTGTTTCTTTATTATTTTACTAAAAATAAATAACTAATAAAATAAAGAAAGAAAAAAAAAAGAAAAAAAGAAAATTGAAAGGGGATGAAAATATGAGATTAGGTTTCGAGGAGTGGTCTTCTTCATTCGTCAACGGCGGCGCGATACCCTTTCTCTTCGCCGCTGCATGTCAATCCCTGCCGTGCCCTCCAACAATTCTCTCCGTTCTCGCTCAATCTGTCATCCGCCATCATCGAAGCTCTATCTCACGATTCCGCCGCGCCATGAATAAGAGGCTCAAACCTCTTCTTTTACAATCGCCGTTGTCGCCGCTTGAATTATCTTTGAATTCAATACAAGCTCACCGCGAATACTCGACACCTCCATTCATCCTCTCCACCGTAACTACTTTGCTTCAGTTCTGATGAAGATGACGAGACTTTCAAAGTACCCGCTTCTCTATAATGCGCTCTTCTTTTTCGATTCTGTTTCAGAGATCGATCTGACGCGTCTTCTTCTCCAATTTATTTTTTTACGTCTGAATTGCAGCGCTGTTGTTGTTGATTCTACGCAACTCGTGATGTTGATGAAACCGATCGAAAATCCGAGTTGATGATGATGCAAGTGTTGCGGATTCCTGACGAAGTTGCTGTGAGACAAAGATGAAGATGATGAGGTTGTTGAGGCTTACAGTGAGAATAAAAAACACAGAGCTGTAGTTGATTGATGAGCGAAGCTCGATAATGACGAAGGTGATGATGGAGCTGTGATATGATGATGTGTGTTTAGTGAGTGAGAGGTTTTGACGAAGATGAAGAGAAATTGAGAGAGAAATAAGAGAAACGAGACTCAAAGCTCAGTGCTGATGGTGGAAACCGCAAAGAATGGAGACTAAAGGGAGCGTTCATGAAAGATCAACCGAGACCCATTTGATATGCTTTTGACAGTGTTGTAATGACCAGAAATCCAGTTACAAATCAGGTACATCCTCCATTCTATTCTTCTTCCGTTCTTGCAATTTTGAACAAAGTTGTAATGTTGAAAACTTGGTAATGATGGTTGAATCTGGACTGATGTGAGGAATTGATACTTTACATTTGTTTTTGCAGTGAGAAACGCGATGTAGGATTGATAATGATTGAAGCATCGAGGTTGTGATATCCAATTTATTGAAGATGAAAGAGGGTGATGAAGAGTAGAGTAATTCTAGTGAAGGGGCGATTTAAAGAACATGAAGATGAAGTTGATGAAATTCGATTGGAGGAGTAATTTGCGGTGGTTTCCGAGAAGAGTAAGAACTGTGAAGAAGTTTCAGAAGATGATGAAGCAATATTGATGATTATGCGATTTCAGAGAGAATTGGAAGGTGAGTTTTTTTTGTGTTGAATCATAAAATCATCCTCTTCCAACTGAATGATAATCTCCCTGTTATATATATTTTCTGCTATATTGTTTAGAAGATGGGATTTGGTTAGAAACTGTTTAGAGTTTGTTAGGAGTTTGTTTGGAGTTTGTTAGGACAGTTAGAAAATCCTGTTAGAAGTTATGCAGTGTTGTTTAGTTGGGTTAAAAGGAGTTAGTTATAGAATTGGTTAGGAGTTAGTAACTGTTTAGAGTTAGTTTTTTTTGAAACTGAAATTCAGTTATGTGACCTTGAAATGGGCTGGCACTATTTGTTAGTTTGTAGTTCTGTTTCTGATTCCATCATTTATATTTGCAGCATGCAGGGAAGCACCAAGAACTATTGCTTCATCAGCATCAAGATGCCAATCAAGTTCTTTTCTACCAAGGAACTCTTGAAGCTTAGCCTGTAACTTTGGCACTCTGGTAGCACCTCCAATTAGCTCCACTGCATATTTTTGATCTGCTGACAAGCCTGAATGCTCAAGCAACTCTTTCATACAAATTACGAGGCCAATTCCTCTTTACATTATTTGCAATAAAACTGGAAGTCTTAGCCCTCAAGGCACGAAGCGATCCATCATAGTCAGAGGTCTGGTATACAAGCTTGGACATGAGGAGATAAATTTTCAAACACCTCAACAGAAGTATCAGGTTCTCGAGGATCTAGAGGCGAAAATGGAAGTTTAGCAACCTCCCTTAAAGCATCAATGTGATTCCCAAGTCTTGACAATTTGTGAATTGATAATATTGACTCAAGTTGTCTTCATTTCAATTTAATAATCCACCACACTGTAGTGAAATTGTATACATAACTAATTGTTAATTAAATATAAAATGACACTGCATTTTCGGTCTTAACTTCTTCTTTGCCTTTTACTTCCTTATTGATGACTTTATTCTCTGTGGATGAGTTAAGTCCAGTTGAACTTTTTTTTTTGTTGCACACATCATACATGCCTAAGATAACAAATGTATTACGCACATGGGAGCATCTGGGTGTGGGAAGGAAACAAATCTGTTCTACAGTATTCAGAGTATTCTTTTTCCAAAACAAAAACAATCTATATAATAAACTTATTATAAATTGTTAACATTTGTCATAAAGTCCAATGTAAGGATTCCATTGGCAACACATAACAAACACAAAGGAAATCATCATTTTTTTCTTTACTCTTCTGCGGCGCTGGCGGCACTAAGATCCACAGAGAGGTCGAGAACCTTGCCGGTTATCAATGTATACATGTTGAAGACATCCACTACTGTTGACTCAAAGTGTGTGGTAGCATCATAACTGGTTGATACAAAGCAGTTGTCTAGAGTGGGTTCATTGACTGGTTCATATCTATCGTACATATCAAAAAATATCTCCTCAACAGGTCCTAGAAGGTCAATCCCAGTTTTAAGTTCAATAGCAGGCAGATCTGTCTCTGCCTCAGTTGATACAAATGCAATATATTTTTCCCTTTGGGCAAACATTGTGAGAATACGAGCAACAGAATAGGTACATGTCTGACTTTCGACCCAACTGCTTCTGTGGGAGAATAACTTGCACTGATTGGGAGTCATTGGTGCTGGGGATCGGATGGCTCATGATGGCTATTGCTATTGCAACCTTTCCAACCTTGCCAGGCAAATATGATGGATCACAGACAACTTTCTTGCACTTGGCAGTTTCCCCTTCAGATGTGACACCAATAACCTTTCCTTAAGCATCAAATTGTACCTTGCATTCAGGTTTGTTCACCATATATGTACCACCATAAACATCACTAAGCCTTGCAAATGCATGGGGAAGCTCTCCTAAACCATACAAAGGGTATATGTAGGGTGATCCCCCTTGAAATCGTGCAAGAGACTCTGCATATAATTTCATTCTCTTCACAGTGTCCAGAGATGGCTCACTCAAGTAGCGATCATCTCTATGAAGCGCCAAAGCATGACCAATGAAATCCACAGTGTTATCATCAAGGCCAATTTTTGCTATCAGGTCCTTAGTAGTCACTCTTGTCAAGTCCATCCCCTCATGAGTTTTAGGATCACTCTCATTATAATCTTGAACATAAATGAAAAACTTGCGCGCACGTCGTTTTTTTCAAATATCCCCATAAGTGGAGATTTCAAGGCCTCCATATCATTTGAAGGTACTTTGTGAACCTTTGCTTTGTTAAAGACAAAACTTCCATCCACAGCTTTAAAATAGAGATACTTGGTAACATCAGTATGAATGAGAACCCTCACTAACATGCCATTAGCCACAATGAACTTAGGGTTCATGTCAATATTATAGTCTTTGCTAGAACCCAAATGTGGAAGAGGCTTATCATCTCCTCTGAATTTCTTCCAAAGCTGAATAAGATTGAGCGAGGTGGATTCTCCTCCGTAATAGTCATTTCTATCCATGTGAAGAACCTTGAGGCCATCGACGGATAGAAGACCACCGAGAATGCATTCCTTGAGACCGGTTCCCAAAACGATGATGTCGTACTCTTCATCCATTTTCTTGGATCTCGGATCGGAATGAAAAGGGGGTTTAGGGTTTCGAAATAAGAAAAAGACAGAAGAGGAAGAAAGATGGACCTTGATTTGATTGTCAAACAGTCTAACTCAAACACTTTGCCTTCAGAGATTGCTTCTATTCGGTGGTGGTGACGATCATGCTGTGTTTCTTAACTTTTAGTCCACTTCCAGAAGTCCTAAGCTCCTTAATAGATGTTAGGCTAGGTAACTCCTTTGGAAGATACTCAAGTCTTGAACTCTCAAGATTAAGCCACTTAAGATTACGAAGAAGCCCAATAGATAGGTAAAGTGTTTGAATCTCTATACTGCTTAAATCCAAGTTTTCAATGAAATCCGAGGAGACGGCAAATTCCTCGAGACTTGTGCAGCCAATGACACTGATCTTTTCCAAAAAAACTTTAAACGTTTCCGGCCTTTAACACTCCTAAGCTTCGTACAACCGTCAAGTATCAGAATAGTAAGTGTTTCAGCCAAAAGAACGGATGAATGAAGATCCATCGGACTCACACAAATATAATTCTTTTGAGGAGCTAGTAACGAAGATGGAAATATGGAAGAAGTATAACCAAGATATCCTTAAAACTACTAATCCACATTGACTTGTATTGTGAGCAAAAACTAACGATGATGAGAACAAAAATGGCCTTGATCAACATGAATCTATGGTACCATTCCTTATGCCATGACCTCATACTTTTAAATTCAACCCCACAAGTCCTTTGTTTTGTCAAAAAATGTCTTTGTGGGATCCTTGAAGAAGATAAAATTTGAAGCTTAGAAGGATATCCTCTAATCATTCCTCATTGATGAACATCAACAAACTCACACACAAAATGCAAAACATTAACCTGCTTGTATTAGGTGCACAGTGACGACTTGAGACATGGATAGAATAATATTCAAAATGTCTTCGAAATGAAACAAAGCATCATCTTCCAATAGACATAGGGAAATAAACCCAAATTTTCAGACTTAACAGATAAAACCTTGCAACTTGATTTTTGAGATGAAGAGAATAACCTTGTAGCTTGATAAAGAAGAAATCCACAACAACCGTCAATCAAAAACCCTAAATTCACAATTCAATGCACCAGAAGACTCAGTCTTGTTTGATAAACACTCCGAACCAAAAGAAAACCCGAGCTTCACAACCAATGATTCTCTGATCCATGATTCGACAAAACCCGAATTGGTTAATTGAAGAGTGGATGAATGCCATGTCAAAGTCATTAAGCATGTTGTTTATCAGAAAATAATAGCCTTGCTGCTTAAGGGAAAGGAAGTCCAAAAAATGAGAATGAACCACAACCCTAATTCCCCAACTTGCTGACACCAGGGAGACCCTGAATAATCAGGCTCATTTCACACATACACCTTAAATCAGTTGTAAACTTTAGCTCCCTAACTGCTGGACTTTTGAACCTCAGGCAATCTATTTTTATGAAAAATGCGTGCTATGCCAATGACCCATTGGAATGATGCAGATGAATGCAAAAAGTCTGAGCCAAATAAAATAGATTAGGAGGGCAAATTTTGGGGTGCAACACATTGCACCATGCATTTCATACATCATGACACTGCATACAACTAACGTTTTACCTTTTTCAGGAAAAAGGTCAATCAACAAATGGCTACCATCAACCATTTTCAAGTTCCAGATTAATACGTGTAACAAGTCAGGGCAATTATCTACATGACCAGCTAAAGCAACCCTACACAAGTTTCTCCTATTTCCAAGATGAAGTTTACACGGACTCGTTATGAAGCAACCCTACACAGGTTTCTCCTATTTCCAAGATAAAGGTTTACGACGACTCATAATGAAGTAACCCTACACAGGTTTCTCCTATTTCCAAGATGAAGTTTTACACAGACTCGTCATGAAGCAACCATACACAGGTTTCTCCTATTTCCAAGATGAAGTTTTACATGGACTCATCATGAAGCAACCCTACACAGGTTCCCCTATTTCCAAGATGAAGTTTTACACGGACTCGTAATAAAGCAACCCCACACAGTTTCCTTCTCATTTTTCAAGATAAAGTTTTACACGGACTCGTCATGAAGCAACCCTACACAAGTTTCTCCTATTTCCAAGATGAAGTTTAACACAGACTCATCTTGAAGCAACCCTACCCAAGTTCCTTCTCAAAAAATTCCAGATGAAGTTTAACACGGAATCATCATCAAGCGACCCTACCCAGGTTCCTTCTCATTTCCAGATGCAGATTTACACGGACTCATCATGAAGTAATTCTACCCAGTTTCCTTCTCAGACAATTCCAGATGCAGTTTTACACGGACTCATCATGAAGCAGCCCTACACATGCCTACCATAAATTGAAGAATATTCAAGACCTCTACTGGTTCAGTTTAAATCTCGCAACGGTTTATCCTGATTCTTTCCCATAGACATTTTCTCAGGTTCAGATGAGTCGCTCCAAGATTTATTCTGATTCTTTCTAGTTAAAGAAAATTCAAGACCTCTACTGGTTCAATTTAAATTTCTCAATTGTTTATCCCGATTCTTTCCCACAGACATCTTCTATGGTTCAGATAAGTCACTCCAAGATTTATTCTGATTCTTCTCCATAACACTACTATTTCAGTTTAAATCTCTCAACGGTTTATTCTGATTCTTTCCCACAGATATCTTCTCTGGTTCAGATAAATCGCTCCAAGATTTATTCTGATTCTTTTCCAGTTAAAGTCAAAGTTAGACTTAGTCTAATTTCTGTCAACAATCACCTTTAGATGGCATCTATAAGCCCATCTCCGACAACTCTCTATCATCTTACTAAATGGCATCTTTAAGCCCATTCCCTACACAATGGACCATAAATTCATCGAGTGCAAATTTCTGGGCACTCTAGTGTTCAATCATCTTCCACCTTCAAGTCACGAATGGCAGATTTTCCCATCTAACTCTTCAGGTGTAAGAAGATTGAACAGGGGCAGCTGTTGTACCTCAAAATTTTCCCTCTCAAATCTCAAGGTTTTTTTTCACAAAGATTCTCAGGGTTCAGGCTTTCACAAGTGCTTTGGGATTTCCCAGTACCAAGATTAAGAGGAAACTGTCAAAAAGGGAGAAAACAGATAAAAATAACATTTTGACAAATTTGGAGAAATTTAAGCTTCCTTTGATTTGGCACCTTCGATTTCCTCTCAGCCTCTTTCGATTGCCCAAGTTTACTGCCTCTCAGCCTCCTTCGATTGCTCAAAATCAGTTGTCTGCAAGCTGCTTCGATTGGGCACATGCTGCCTGCTGTATGCTGCCTGCCAACTGCTTCGATTGGGCACATGCTTCCTGCTGCATGCTACCTGCCAACTGCTTCGATTGGACACATGTGGCCTGCTGCATGCTTCCTGCCAACTGCTTCGATTGGGCACATGCTGCCTGCTTCCTGCCAACTGCTTCGATTAGGCACATGCTGCCTGCTGCCTGCAAGCTGCTTTGATTGGGCACATACTACCTGTTGCTTGCATTTTGTTTCGTTTGGGGCAAGCTTCGTTTGGGCCAAGAGGTGTCTTCATGCAAGATTTGACTAAAGTTCTTGTTTCCGTTGAAGGAACACCCTTCGATTCAAAAGGAACTTCCCTCATGCTAAACAGACACAAGGCATTTGACTCCAGCATGCACCTTTCATTTGGCCACATGTGACTCCTAGAAAGCAAACCTTCGATTGGAGCTATGATTCCCTTCGAATCAGCTTCCTTCGAATCCAAGCTGAGCCATTCGAAGCAGTCTTCGTTTGGAGCAAGTTTGAACAAATCTCAAGACCAAATCTCACTTGTCAGGCTTACTTTGTTTCCAAATCTTTATGATTAGAGGTTTGTATAAAGGTTTTGAATTTTGTCTTTTGGATAATACTATTCTTGGCAAAAGGCTATTATCTATTTACTTTCATAGAAAGCACTTTTATCACAAAAGAAGCTTTCCACTTGAATTTCGTCTGAACAAAAAGCAGGAGGCACAGTCACATCCCAACTTCCAACAAGCCTCCCACTTGTACCTCTCACGTTACCTATTATTTTATCATTTGTTTTGTAAGCTGGCTACTACAACATTTCCTTTCTTTTCTCTATAAATAGAGGAACATTTGCAAAGCTGAGGAGGATCTTTTGGACCAGGTGAACGAATTTAAAAATTATCCCAAACACTCAAACTCTCCAACTCTAAAAAATCTCAAACCTCTCAGATCTTCCAACTCAAAAAACTCTCAAAACTCTCAAAAGATATCAACCCCCTTTGTTACATTATCATCCTTTCAGTTCACCTCCCTAACCAATATATAGAAGCCTTTCGATCCACCTCCCTAACTCACGTTATCATCCTTTCGATTCACCTTTCCCCCCAGCTTCCATACACCAACTTTGGAACACTCCCAAAGCCCTAAAAAAACCACTCACAGAAGTCAGTGAATCCTTCGATTCACTCCTAACCTCCATAAATCAACCTTTGATTCAGTGACCTTTTTCCAAGTAAAATGATAACTGAAATAGTTCCAGGGAGATCCCAGCTAAGCCTAGTCCATCATCAAGCCATACACAACTCCTTCGACTGGAACTTCAAGAGGTAAGTCTTTTCTTAACTTGAAACTTTTTTTCGTTCTAACTTCATTTGTACATACATTGTAAACGGAAAAATGTAGATATCTTAGGTAGGACCTTGCCTTAACCTTCGATTTACTATTGCTTATTCATGGAGAATCTTAACTCTGATTTGTTAGCCTTTGGGTTAGTGCCAAACAAATTTATGCTAACCCCTGGATTGTAGTTTTATTTGGATACTGAATTTTTAGACTTTAGTACAGGTTTTTTGTACCTTTCGAATCATACTCTGAGTACCCAATATGCTTACAAAGGGTCAGCAAAGAACCTGTGACAAAGTATGAAGTTGCTGCTCTTGGGCGTCAAACGAAGGCCAGAGCCTTGTTGTTTACAGGCCTCAAACGAAGGCTTCAACCTGGTTTGTTTCC